ACACTGATCAGACTATTCCCTGAGAGCCCTCTGTTGCCATGAAATGTTGGGGTCATGAGATATTAACCAGGGAAGTCCCAACACTACAGGAAACGCAGGAGAGTCAATCAAATACAACTGTATAATCTCCTCATGAACCCCCTGCGTCTTCATCTTAAGTGGCGCTGTGACCTCCCTAATCAATCCTGACCCCAAAGGGCGGCTGTCTAGGGCATGGATAGGGAAGGGCACATCAACTGGTATGAGGGGAATCCCTAACTTATACGAGAAACTGCGATCAATAAAATTCCCAGCTGCGCCTGAATCGACTAGCGCCTTATGCTGGGAGTGAGAAGAAACCTCGGGAAACACAACTTGGATACACATGTGGACAACAGAGAGCTCTGGGTGAGTTGGGTGCTTACTCACCTGGAATGACTCATCAGTGCGTGGCCTGCTGCCTCGATCCCTAGGAGACCCTCCCCAGCACCGAACCGCAGTGTCCTCTGCGGCCACAGTTGGTGCAGGGGACGGCCTCTCTCCTGGTCTCTCTCTTCTTCTCTCTAGCACCAGCACCCCCGAGCTCCATAGGGCTCGGCTCGGAGGTGCTGAGGGATGGAATGGACGGCCCCAGCTCCAGACGTCCGCGGGTAGCCAACAGGGTATCCAGACGAATCGACATGTCCACCAGCTGATCGAAACTTAGGTTGGTGTCCCTGCAGGCCAGCTCTTGGCAAACGTCCTCCCGTAGGCTGCACCTATAGTGGTCGATGAGGGCCCTCTCATTCCATCCCGCATTGGCAGCCAGAGTCCGGAAATCCAGTGCGAATTCCTGCGCGCTCCTCTTCCCCTGTCTGAGGTGGAACAGACGCTCCCCCGCCGCTTTCCCCTCTGGGGGATGATCGAAAACCACCCTGAAGCGGCGGGAGAACTCCGCATAACTGACTGTAGCGGCGTCTATTCCCCTCCACTCGGCGTTGGCCCACTCCAGTGCCTTGCCGGACAGACAGGAGATGAGGGCGGAAACGCTCTCGTATCCCGAGGGCGCCGGGTGAATGGTTGCCAGGTAGAGTCCTACTTGGAGCAGGAAACCCTGACACCTGGCCGCGGTGCCATCATAAGCCCTCGGGAGCGAGAGCCGAATCCCACTGGACTCCGGAGATGGAACGATGGGTATGGCTGAGGGTGGTGGTATTGTTGGAGGAGGTGTGGGCAAACCTCCTCTCTCCCATCGGCTCAAGGTGTCCATCACATCTTGCATGGCGGTGCCCAGTTTCTGGATCATGGCGTCTTGGTGGATTACGCGCTCCTCCAGTGATCCCGTTGGCACCGCTGATCCTGCTGACTCCATGGTGAGGTGTGTTATTCTGTCAGGAGCGACGTGTATGCGGTGAGTGAAGTCAAGCGCAGGACACAGAGATACTAGCAGACGTATTTTACTAATAGTAAAGAACAAAACAAAACCTCCGAACCGGGAGGGAAAAAACAACATACATGACATATGACAAAAGCGATGCCGATACCGCCTAGACACAAACAATAACACACAAATACCAAACGTGAGACAAGGGTAATTATAGGATCTACAATCAAACATAATAGACAACAGGTGTAACCACTCAAGACAAAACAAGACAAACACCGAAACATCGATCGGCAGTAGCTAGTACTCCGGGGACGACGAACGCCGAAGCCTGCCCGAGCAAGGAGGAGGAGCAGCCTCGGCAGAATCCGTGACATCGGTGTGGAAGAACTTGACTGGCCTGCACAGAGCCCTGACCTCAACCCCATCGAACACCTTTGGGATGAATTGTAACGCCGACTGCGAGCCAGGCCTAATTGCCCAACATCAGTGCCCGACCTCACTAATGCTCTTGTGGCTGAATGGAAGCAAGTCCCCGCAGCAATGTTCCAACATCTAGTGGAAAACCTTCCCAGAAGAGTGGAGGCTGTTATAGCAGCAAGGGGGGACCAACTCCATATTAATGCCCATGATTTTGGAATGAGATGTTCAACGAGCAGGTGGCCACATACCTTTGGTTATGTAGTGTATGTTGGTTGGTGTGTGTGTGTGGGGGGGACAATAGTTGCCTTAGTGACGGCTGTAGTGTGGCCGAACGACAAGTATGGTGGCTAACCTCTATGGTTAGACAACGACCGGTGTATTCTGCATCCAGGCTCAGGGCTGGTCATCATGGTCACTGATGGTTAAAGATGGAATCCGCAGTAGGGGAAACAGCGCCACTGTCCACCCCACGGTCGTTGTTATTGTTTTGTTGATGAAGCAGAGCTGGGGAGTGTCGAGCATTAAGGTAAAAAAAATTGCAGTACATATGCTGTTGTTCTATGACACATGCAATGATGTCCGAGGGAAAAAACTGTGTTGGTTGTTTGCAGTCTTTGTTGTTGTAATATCACAAACAGATGTGGCAGTTTGACCATGAAGGACTCCAGGTCTAAAGAGCTCAAGCTGAAACCATAATGGCCTTGATATAAAGTGACCTTACGAAGATCGTTGTGGATCAAAACGTTGTCAGTAAAGATGGCAATTGGCAGCATAATGTGTGGGTGCCTTTCTGTTGTCTTTATAAAGTTGACTGGAACAGCTTTCTCAGAGGGCGCTGCCAGGTAAGAAATAAAACACCTTCAAGGAGTTTACCAACCAACCAACCCAGCTCTCCTCATAAGACCTCATAAGACCCAGGCATCAGCTCTCCTGAAATTCTGTGTCCTGATTCAGACACAGCTCTGTCTCCGTCCCAAATGGCCCCCTATTACATATGTATAGTGCACTACTGTTGACCAGAGCCCCGGGCCGTGGGACGCGTTTGACATGGCTGTGAGGAATGTCTGGGGTGTCAGAGTTCACGAGGTCCTGGTCTCAGAAAATGAAGGGCTAGCACTTCTAATAAGTCATAATTACCCCCATCATATCCCCTCCTCCATCTTAATTTCACTGCTGTGGTAGGGGTCAGCTGGGGGTTGGCATGAACCCTCTGTCCCTCTCTCTATCAAGTCTCTCTCAAGTCTCTCTCAAGTCTCAATGCTTGTGTTGTTCAGAAATGGGACTTATTGAGTGCTCTCTAACAAAGGCAATCACAGCATAGGCCTACACTATACTGAAGCTTAAATCACGTCTCAAGTCAAGATTATGCCTAAGAGTAGAGCTGGGATGATAAACAGATTATACCGATCACTTATCGCAGACAATGTGAAGTTTGAAATGAAATAAGTTTGCTAATATGGGTGATTGTTGATGGGATAATTGATGGCTACAACCATCAATCTAGTAGTAGTAGTTTAAAGGATCATTTAAAGAACTGTTGTGCACATTGATGTTATAAACTTATCCTTCTATTTATCATTATTACATAAATTCAGGCAATTTATTGCGATATGGATTTTTGGGTAACACTTGACACCCAGCGTCATAATGTCATAACAGCTGACATAACTTGTCATAACCTGTCATAATATGGCCATAACACTGTCATGACACATATATTTAGACCTGTTGTGACATATATTGTGTTATTTTGTGGCTGGTTATGACACCTACATAAGAGTGTCAAAACTCACAAAACAAGACATTCCATTACACCATAGCCTACTTGTCAACAGTATGTTTATGTTATATAACATTTTCTGAAATTGACCATATTAAATTATAATTGTAATTGCACACACATTGATGTCAGACATGCACCTACCCCCAATGCTCTGTTTCTGATGACTGGGATGAATGCAGGAGCAGATTTCAGGAGCAGGACAAGACACCCTCTTTTTGACTGATGTCTGACATAAGGGCATGTATGTGATAGGCCTATCTGGCTTATAAGATTATGATGGTCATAATGCTTCTTGACAGTGTCATAAAGTATATTTTCTTAGTCCAAGTAAAGTGACACAGGATGGTCATAATGCTCCTTGACAGTGTCATAAAGTATATTTTCTTAGTCCAAGTAAAGTGACACAGGATGGTCATAATGCTTCTTGACAGTGTCATAAAGTATATTTTCTTAGTCCAAGTAAAGTGACACAGGATGGTCATAATGCTCCTTGACAGTGTCATAGTGTTTTTTCTACAAGTTATTTAAAAAACAATTACAAAATTCATTACAAAAACAACAAAATAATTAAGAAACAAACTTTCAAACGAAAGGAAACTTCTTGGCAGGGAAAAAACACATTTGAATATACAGTATGTGGGTTTTGACACTCCTATGTAGGTGTCATAACCAGCCATAAAATAATGCAACATGTCACAACAGGTGTAACTATATGGGTCATGACAGTGTTATGACCATGTTATGTCAGCTGTTATGACATTAGGACATGGTTATGACCGTGTTGTTTTGTCCATAACGCCCACCTCTACCTAAGAGTAGAGTGTCATTCAGTCAGGTGTAGCAGACATATTAACAGCCATTTGTGTCTGTTTATAACGCACATTGTTGAAGAAAAGTTTCTGATTTATGGTCATTTTTGCAGTTTGTACAATTCTTTTGCACTATGAAAATGTTGCCCTGAATCTTCTCTATCACATCCTGATTAGGAAAAGCTCAGGGCCCTTCGACGTGTCACACTCACACTGACCCTGACTGCATCGTTGTCTCTGAGATAAGGTTCCATCCCAACAGTCATCCATCATCAGTGGGTTGGGATGTGGTATGGATATGAGACACTACTGCTAGGATTGGATTAGTTTCAATTTTTATTAGTCCTATATACTGTATAGGAATAAGTCAGTCAGTGTTATTGGGAATTGATTATGTCAGATCGCATCTGACTTGATCTTAAACCAAAATAATGTCCAGATTGTTGCTGACTTTAAGTCAGTCTTAAAATGCTGACTATTTATGTTTGTCTCTCCTCTTGTCTATCTGACTGTAGGTTTGTCTCTCCTCTTGTCTTTCTGACTGTAGGTTTGTCTCTCCTCTTGTCTTTCTGACTGTAGGTTTGTCTCTCCTCTTGTCTTTCTGACTGTAGGTTTGTCTCTCCTCTTGTCTTTCTGAGTGTAGGTTTGTAATAGCGATGAATGATGAACAGGACCGGCCCTATGGATGCAGCGCTCCTGGCTGCTCGCAGGTGTGTGTGTGGACCTCTAGTAAAGAATCTCCTCACCGCATTATGATTTGATATCTAATATCTTATTTTAGTCAGATTTTATACATTTATGCCACTTAACAAATAATTTCATAAATCTATGTTTTAGTGAGCATGCTAAGTTGATCTCTCTCTCTATTCGCCCCATACAGCGGTTCCAAAGAGAAGACCACCTGATGATCCACAGACACAAGCATGAGATGACCCTGAAGTTCTCCTGCACCAAGGCTGATCCCCTCGCAGGTGAGAATAACATGAATAGATGTAGACCGCATAGAGAGGACATTAGCTTTGTAATGATGATTATTTATATTCTGTTTGTTCTGTTTCCAGTCAAGGATAATCTCCACTACCATAGATTGTCCCTCTTTTTCCTTTTCTGTTTCACCCTGACTCTTTCTTTCTCACTTTCTCTGTCCCCCTGTTTCACCCTTATTAACTTATTACCCAGAGTTCTTTATTTGTGTTTCACTAATGTGCTCAGTCTGTCAGGATTTTTTAGTGTAGAGTTTGTGTGTCTGACAATATTTCTCGTCCCTTCCGGCCAGTAGAATACGAGTGTCCTTATCAGTCTTATCCCTCCCCCTCTCCTCCCTCCCCCATTCCTCCCCCCTTCACCTCTCTGACCAGCTGTCTGTCACTCAAGCTTAGTGTTGTCTGGTTCAGGTGTGTGTGTCCGTGTGTGTATGTCCGTGTGTGCGTATGTGTGTGTGCGTATGTGTGTGTGTGTGTGTGTGTGAACATGTGCATGCATGTTCGTCTATGTGTGTGTGTGTGTGTGTGTGTGTGTGTGTGTGTGTGTGTGTGTGTGTGTGTGTGTGTGTGTGTGTGCTTACGTGCTTGTATGCGCGTGTGACCTCTCTTCAGTGGCTGATGAAATGTGAGGATGAGAGGATACAGTATGAAACCAGATAAGCTGTATCTCTGACAAACAGATGGAACTGGATCCCATATGTACAGTAGCATGACATACAGAACAGTACAGTAAAATGATGACTTGTACCTGCTTTTGTAGTGATAACAAGTAGAGGTAAGATACTATAGTATTTGCAGCACATACAGAGATGAGAAGAGAACGGTTGGTTCACAACATACTAGAGCACTGGTGGCCAAGGCTCAGCCTCAGACAAAAACACACTCTCAATCGTGCAGGCCAGGGGAAAGCCCTGTCTGGCTGTTACCGTGGCAATGGCTGTCTGTCTCTCTGGGCTGAAACATCTCTGTTGACCTTTGACCCCCACCAGTCAGGTTCTATCCTGCAGGGGTCTGTAGACACTCAGCCCTGGAGGAAATCTCCTGTCAAAACAAAGGAGTGCCGAGCCTGTGACTCTTGACTCCTGACCTCGCAACCTTTCAACCCAGATAGTTTAGACTACAGGTGAGAGAATCAGTCTCTGTCTGATCTTATCTCGGTTACGATGGTGATCGCTCTGGGGTGAAGTTTCCCCTAAGTACAGATCTAGGATCAGCTTCCCCGCCCCCAATCCTAGCCTTAACCATTAGTGAGGAAGATGTAAAACTGACTACAGCGGCTATGGGCAACATCAACCTACACCATGGTGATCTGCTCCTGAGCCTGTGGCTGGGAAGGCTGTCATGGTGGTGTAGGGAAGGCTACACAAAGCAGGTTGAACATAGTTCTAGTGATGTTGAAACCATGCTAGCTGTAAGCTGCCTGAGGTGCTGGTTTAGATCTGTCTCTGCCATAACCAAAACCTCTCTGTGTACTTCGACATGGGCGTTTAGCCTAGTGGTTAAGAGCGTTGGGCCAGTTACCGAAAGGTTGCTAGTTTGAATTCCTGAACCAACTAGGTGAAAAATCTGTTGATGTGCCCTTGAGCAAGGCACTCAACCCTAATTTGCACCTGTAAGTCGCTCGGGATAAGAGCTAAATGACTACAATGTAAATGTAGCAATATCATGGTTGTTATGATTTCTGTTTGATGCTTAATGTCTGTTTGCTCTCTCTGTGCTGTGTGTAATCAGACCAGACCCCAACGCCGACCCGTTTCCTGCGTAACTGTGAGGAGGTGGGCCTCTTCAATGAGATTGAACAGGAGTTCCGCCAGGCACAGGAGGAGCAGAACATTAAACAGGTTACACACAAAAAAACTACATTCCCATGAAATCTCAGACATATACAGCAAGCGGATGAGACTTTAACATATGCCGCGTTCATATGCTAGTCGGAACTAGGAAACTCCAAAATGTCAGACTTTCTGATTTGTTGAACGCGGCACATGTATAACTACAACCAGTTAGCATGTCGGAAATGTTTCCGACATCAGAGTTTCCTAGTTCCGACTAGCATGTGAACGCAGCAATAAACTTAGATAGACATTGCATCATTGTATCTGTCCAATTATGGCATTTGTAAGAGCACTTGCAGGGCCATTGAGGCCATCTCTATGAGTTGGCAAACATTCTGAAAGGGTGCATACTGCCACCTGGAGTGTGTTGTTTGAACAGGTATAAAGCCAAGGTTGGCGATTTACTGCCACCTGCAGTAATGGAATATTTGCTCAAGAGTAATTCATTGGCTGATCCCTCCTGGTGACCTGGATGGAATTATGTGGTCCTTCCTTAACCCATAGGAAGTTCCACCCAGTTGACTAGCCTACTTCAAAATGGTGAAAGTCCTCAACTCAAATAGAGTCTTCTATCTCTATGGACTTGAACTACAAAACTGTCATTTATCATGACAGTAATTACTGTACTAGCACATTAAGCCATAACCATAGCCAGAGAGCATACTGATTGTCTTGCATGCTAGGTTTAAAATCAAATCACATTTCTAAAGCCCTTTTTACATCAGCAAATGTCACAAAGTGCTCTACCGATACCCAGAAAGAGCAAGCAAGGTTTCTAGGCTCTCGTATGAAACTAGCAAATGGAACATACAAACAAATATGAGTCCTTCACCAGGTTGGCAGGTATTTTGATTGACAGGTCTGGCAGGTATTTTGATTGACAGGTCTGGCAGGTATTTTGATTGACAGGTCTGGTAGGTATTTTGATTGACAGGTCTGGCAGGTATTTTGACTGACAGGGACGTATTGAGTGACAGGTTAGTGACAGACAGACACCATTGACAGGTGCGGCAGGTAAGAAACACCATGCGATCACATTCTTATTAGCATGGTAAGCAGCCAGACAGACTGACACACAACGGACAGACACACACACACACACGTGTGCACACGCACGCATTCATGCACACACACACAATGCCACACACTCCAAGATGTAAAATTGGTATGTAGAAGTGTGGATTCTTTCAGAGTACATATTAAAACTAGTCGTCTTTTCCTCTTCTCTCAGACTCAGAGTCTCCCTCAGAATGGATCATCATGTGCAAACCAGCCCCAGCCCCACTCCCAACACCAACCACAGTCCCAACACCAACCACAGTCCCAACACCAACCACAGTCCCATGGTGGTATGAGGGGTCTCAGCTGCAGCATGGCTGGACAGCAAGCACTGCCCTCTGCCCAGTCCAACTCAGTCATCACACAGGCCCACTCCATGCTCACACACTCAGGGTAAGTACACAGAGACAAAGATTCAGACACACACACACACAAAATCACACACACACAATTACACGCCAAACACACACACATCTCTTCAACATGTTACTGTTGCCTGCTTCCTCTACCTTTCACCCCTCTCTCTCATCTCTCTCTCTCCCTCCCTCCCTGTACCTCTCACCCCTCCCCTTCTGCTGTCATAACCATAACTCATTCTGTCTGGAGCAGGCTGTCATTCCCCAGACAGTCTAATTTATTAGGCCTTAATGAATTAGAGAGAGAGGGAGTGAGAGAGAGGGGGGGTGGGGAGATGGGGGGAGAGAGATACATTGAAGATAGAGAGAAGATAGATAGAGATATGGGGAGATAGATAACAATTGAAGCAGAGAGAGAGATATAGAGAGAGATGCGATGCTATCTATCGAGAGATCTATATACTCGACTGCTATCTATCTCTCTCTCTCGCTCTCTCTACGCTCTATAGCTATCTCCTATCGCTCTCGCGCTAGCTCTTTGTGAGCGAGTCTGTGGCTCCTTTGCTATTAAACTCCCATTTGGTCCCCATTCAACCCCCTCCCCCCTTTCTATCACTCTGTCTTTCCCTTTGCCTCTCTATCTTTCTTTCTTTCTCTATTTCTCTCCCCATATTTCCCCTCACCCGTCATCTCTCCCTCGGCCGTTGACACAAACCAGTCATCTGGTCCCAGGTTCCAGCCCCGGCCCCAACCAACTCCAGCCCCTGCTGCAGTCCGAGACCAGGGCAGTGTGGTGGTGGTGGTGTTGGTTACATGGCCGTGGTTATCACACTGCAGAGCATGGAGATTAGGCATGGCTCTGTCTTTAGTCTCAACTCCAGACATCTGGCCCTGCTTTCTGAAACCTGTCACACATACAGTTACTAATCTCTGGTGTGTGAGGCAGAGAGTTGAGCTGTCTAGTCAGTCCATGTGCTGGAAAGATTGTGTGTTATTGATACCTTCTAACGTACCTTTATGAACCCTTACATTCTCTCTCTGGCCAATTGGTGACGTTCATTGATTGATTCAGAGTCTATGTTTCAGAACTTGAAGACACTGCTGCTAGAGGTCTATTCTCAGTCCCTAATGACACCCTATTCCCTTTAACCAGGGCCCATAGGCCACTGGTCAAAGTAGTGCACTATATAGGGAATAGGGTGCCATTTCGGACACAGCCCTAGTGTTTCAGAAGTAACAGAAGTTCTTCAGAAGAGTTAGAGTGGGCTTAGCTACAGCACAGCACAACACAGCATAGGACAGTTGAGTATTACAGTCCAGTTGATTACAGCATAGTACTGCCTAGGAGAGTACATTGAGTAAGGAAGGGAAGGGACCATATTACATGGCCAGTTAAAGTCAGACAACGTCTTCCTCTGTAGCCCGTGTTGGATTCCGGGGATCCGACTGTTTCTCCCTGTGTTTACCACTGGTTTCCACGACGACCCCATCTCCGAGTGTCTGGCTGTTGGCCCGGGCGGACTGTTATGGTTACGTTAGGAGGCGTTGTTTTGGTTCGGGTTCGTTCTTTTCTTTTTGCACGTTTAAATCGCTGCTTGCTACAGAGTCAGTGGTGACATCACCAGGGATGACCTCAGCGCAGCGAGGGAGGACAACGCAGTCTGATTGCCTGAGAGCCAAAAACATTACATCATCACATCGCACCCCAGCCCCTTCTGTGGCGCATGTCTCTCCCTCCGCTCAATCTATTACTTTTCCCCTCGCTTTTCTTTCCCCCTATACTTTCCATCTTTCTGTCTCTGTCTCACTCTATCACTCTATCACTTTTATTGAACCTCCATCTCTCTTTCTATTGCTTTATCTCACCGTACTTTCCATCTCTTTCTCAGCTACATCGAACTTTCTCCCTTTACATCTCAATCTCTTTCTTCTTTCAGTCTCTCCCTCATCCTCTCCACTCTACCGCTCTCCCATGTTTCTCTCTCTTTTCTCTGTCCCTGATCTGAGACCAGTGTAGAGGCTGGTTACTGAGGTTCTCTGACATCTCACTATGTCTTTCTCCCACTGATCTCAGACCTGTCCCTGGGCCCCTCTCCTCCCTACTGCACCTGAGGAACAACAGACAGAGACAGCCCCTGGCCGCCTCCATGCCTGGCACCCTACCAGACCCAGCCATGCAGGGAGCATCTGCCCAGCACATGTCTGTGAGTACATACAAAGTTACTGACACTGGCCTTCTTTAATGAGCCTATACTTGAGAAATACCTATTTCTTGTTACATTGCTATTACCAAGTCCTAGTATTACATTGTAATTATCTAGTGATTACCCTTTGGAACTGATTGAAGTAGGAAGCATTTACCGGCTGTATAGATTTCAATAGATTTGACTTGTTTTCAAGGTGAAATTGTGTAGAAATAATTAGTGATTTGTTATGTTCCTCAGATGGAAAGACAGATGTCTATGGGATCCAGTATGATGAGCATCCAAGGTCCCGCCCAAAACACTTCCTGCTCTTCACCTCAGGTACTGACCAATCAGAATTCTCTTTCATGGTACCGACCAATCAGAAGGCTCTTTCTTGTTTCACATGATGTTCATGTTTCTGCATGGTTCTCTATGGTGACAGAGATTAAAGGAGCTGTTGTTTGGGCTTGTTATCCTGAACTATTTCTTCCAATAAAAACAGGAACAGATACTCACCTCTTATGTATGTCATGTTTTTCATGCTGCCTATGCTCTTGCACACTCTCTCACCTTTTCCTTCTCACATATGTACGCACGCACACACACACACACTCTCTCTCTTCTCTCTCTCTCTCTCTCTCTCTCTGTGGGGCCCCATTCACCCTCTGGCTATTCTCATTCCTCCTAGGCTGGAACAGAGAGGAAATGGAGTGTAACTCTACACCTTTACACACACTATCCCCAACCAGAGGAAGTCACAGTTTACATGTTCTCCCTCTAGCCCTTTACCCCTGTAATTCACTCAAAAGTTATATCTTTATGATTCTCCATTTTACTTTACCTTTTTCTCACTTATTCACCTTTTTTGGTTTTTAAAGGCTGTCTTGAAGAATTTGCTCTAAGTAAAATCCAGCACACAAAACACACACAAACCACTTCACAATCTACAACTTTAAACAGGCGCTAGACTCTCCAAGGGACTCCCCAGCCACACACAGGAAATGGCCTCACGTGCTGACCCTGTGCTTGGGGACTATATGGTGTCATGTTTCTGAACCAGAAAGGTCTCTGGCTAACATCTGACCCACAGCCTGGGGTTGGTTGGTCTTTGTGTTGTAGCACTCTCCTTCTCTCCCTTGACTAGTAGCTCTCTCTATGGACTCATATCTATACCTGTTTTGACTTGAGGAATTTGACATGGCCAACGTACAACTGTTGCTTGTCTTGGAATCTTATAATGAATTGAATGACTCGTTTCTGGACTTTGTATTGGGAAAAAGATATAGAAAGAGTGTTTTGTAAAGTTGATGTATTTTAAACTCTTTATCGTTTAGCTTGACAAATGGCTCAGCAGATTAGAGAATGAGACTTGTGGGTTATTAATTGTATAGCATCTGGGTTAGCTTTACTGAAAGTAGGTCAAGTTAGCTCCGTTCTAGAATTCAACAACTCTGCTAGTTAAACAGTGAGGCCTTCAGTGCATCCCAAATGGCACCCTATTCCCTATAAAGTGCACTACGTATGACCAGAGTAGTACACTATAAAGGGAATAGGTTGCCATTTGGGACTTATTGGATGTGTGGAACAGTGAAGGATATCTGTTTGACTCTGTCACATGAGGTAGAGTACTGTACGGCATGGTTTCAGGGTGATCAGCCAGACAGAAATATCAACCTGTTGGAGTAATGTACCAGTATAGATCTGTGACGGAATCATATAATCCACAGTGTTACAGGGTTTCTATGTAGTAAACAGAGCTCCAGGACTCTTATACTGTCGCTGCTGAGTGTGTTTGTATGTGTGTGTGTGTGTGTGTGAGAGAGGAAAGAGGGAGAGAGTGTCTGTGTGGCTGGCAAAACTGGCACAGACAGCTACATGACCTCATCGGTGGCACTCTCTAAATGTACTCCCTTTTTTCATTGGTGAATGGAACGAAAAAATAAACTACTTCTCTTAAAGAAATATTGCGTAACCGACAGCAATAGTAATGTTGGATGATGTCATGCCCCAGAAACAATCTCTGTTTGTGTCCCAAATGGCACCCTATTCCCTACATTTGACCAGAGCCCTATGGGCTTTCTATAGGCTCTGGTCAAAAGTAGTGCACTATATAGGGAATAGGGTGCCATTTGGGACACATCCACTGCCCGGCCTCTCTTGCTGAGTGTGAGAGCTCACAGCTGTGAAGAGTCGGGAATGTGTGAGTATTCAGACCCTTTGGATTTCTTTACATATTATTGTGTTACAAAGTGGGATTAAAATTGATTTAATAAAAAATGTTGGTCAACAATCTACAGAAAATACTCTGTCAAAGTGGAAGAAAAATTATATATATATATTTTTTAACGATTATTAGAAATTAAATAACTAAAATATAGTCGTTGCATAATTATTCAGCACCCTGAGTCAATACATGTTAGAAACACAGCTGTGAGTCTACTTGATATGTCTATAACAGCTTTTCACGCCTGGAATGTGCAATATGTGCCTGTTATTCTTTTCAAATAATTATTCAAGTTTTGTCAAGATGTTGGGGGATCATGGCTAGACTGCAGTTTCCAAGTCTTGCCATAGATTTTTAAGCAGATTTAAGTCAAAACTGTAACTTGGCCACTCAGGAACATTCACTCTCTTCCTGGTAAGCAGCTCCAGTGTAGATTTGGCCTTGTAGGTTATAGTCCTGCTGAAAGCTGAATTCCACTCCCAGTCTCTGGTGTAAAGCAGACTGAAGCAGGTTTTCCTCTTGGATTTTGCCTGTGCTTGTTTAGCTCCATCCCGTTTCTTTTTATCCTGAAAAACTCCCCAGTATTTGCAAATGTCAAGCATTCCCATAACATAATGCAGCCACCACCATGCTTGAAAATAAAGAGGCAGTTACTCAGTGATGTGTTGGATTTGCCCCAAACACAAGGCTTTGCATTTAGGCCAAAAAGTGTATTCCTTTGCCGTTCTTTTTTGCAGTATTACTTTAGTGCCTTGCTGCATACAAGATGCAAGTTTGGGAATATTTGGAATATATTCTGTATATTTGTATTCTTATTTTCACTCTATCATTTAGGTAATTATTGTGGAGTCACGACAATGTTGTTGATCCATCCTCAGTTTTCTACCGTCACAGACACTGAACTCTGTAGCTGTTTTAAAATCCCCAATAGCCTCATGGTAACATCCCTGAGCAGTTTCCTTCCTGTCCTGCAGCTCAATTCAGAAGGACGACTGTATCTTTGATGTGTCTGGGTGGTTTAATATACACTGCTCAAAAAAATAAAGGGAACACTTAAACAACACAATGTAACTCCAAGTCAATCACACTTCTGTGAAATCAAACTGTCCACCTAGGAAGCAACACTGATTGACAATACATTTCACATGCTGTTGTGCAAATGGAATAGACAACAGGTGGAAATTATAGGCAATTAGCAAGACACCCCCAATAAAGAAGTGGTTCTGCAGGTGGTGACCACAGACCACTTCTCAGTTCCTATGCTTCCTGGCTGATGTTTTGGTCACTTTTGAATGCTGGCGGTGCTTTCACTCTAGTGGTAGCATGAGACGGAGTCTACAACCCACACAAGTGGCTCAGGTAGTGCAGCTCATCCAGGATGGCACATCAATGCGAGCTGTGGCAAGAAGGTTTGCTGTGTCTGTCAGCGTAGTGTCCAGAGCATGGAGGCGCTACCAGGAGACAGGCCAGTACATCAGGAGACGTGGAGGAGGCCGTAGGAGGGCAACAACCCAGCAGCAGGACCGCTACCTCCGCCTTTGTGCAAGGAGGAGCAGGAGGAGCACTGCCAGAGCCCTGCAAAATGACCTCCAGCAGGCCACAAATGTGCATGTGTCTGCTCAAACGGTCAGAAACAGACTCCATGAGGGTGGTAAGAGGGCCCGACGTCCACAGGTGGGGGTTGTGCTTACAGCCCAACACCGTGCAGGACGTTTGGCATTTGCCAGAGAACACCAAGATTGGCAAATTCGCCACTGGCGCCCTGTGCTCTTCACAGATGAAAGCAGGTTCACACTGAGCACATGTGACAGACGTGACAGAGTCTGGAGACGCCGTGGAGAATGTTCTGCTGCCTGCAACATCCTCCAGCATGATCGGTTTGGCGGTGGGTCAGTCATGGTGTGGGGTGGCATTTCTTTGGGGGGCCGCAAAGCCCTCCATGTGCTCGCCAGAGGTAGCCTGACTGCCATTAGGTACCGAGATGAGATCCTCAGACCCCTTGTGAGACCATATGCTGGTGCGGTTGGCCCTGGGTTCCTCCTAATGCAAGACAATGCTAGACCTCATGTGGCTGGAGTGTGTCAGCAGTTCCTGCAAGAGGAAGGCATTGATGCTATGGACTGGCCCGCCCGTTACCCAGACCTGAATCCAATTGAGCACATCTGGGACATCATGTCTCGCTCCATCCACCAACGCCACGTTGCACCACAGACTGTCCAGGAGTTGGCGGATGCTTTAGTCCAGGTCTGGGAGGAGATCCCTCAGGAGACCATCCGCCACCTCATCAGGAGCATGCCCAGGCATTGTAGGGAGGTCATACAGGCACGTGGAGGCCACACACAGTACTGAGCCTCATTTTGACTTGTTTTAAGGACATTACATCAAAGTTGGATCAGCCTGTAGTGTGGTTTTCCACTTTAATTTTGAGGGTGACTCCAAATCCAGACCTCCATGGGTTGATACATTTGATTTCCATTGATAATTTTTGTGTGATTTTGTTGTCAGCACATTCAACTATGAAAAGAAAAAAGTTTTTAATAAGATTATTTCATTCATTCAGATCTAGGATGGGTTGTTTAAGTGTTCCCTTTATTTTTTTGAGCAGTGTATAATCCACAGCATAATTATTGACCATGCTTAAACAGATATTCAATGTCTGATTTGTTATTGTTACCCATCTACCAATCACTGCCATTCTTTATAAGGCTTTCGAAAGCTCCCTGGTCTTTGTAGTTGAATCTGTGCTTGAAATGCAATACTTGACTGAGGGACCTTATAGATTTTGTATGTATGGGGAACAGAGGAAGGGTTAGTAATTCAAAAATCATGTCAACCCCTATTATTTTACACACTATGTGTCCATATAACTTATGTGATTTGTTAAGCCACATTTTAATCCTGAACTAATTTAGGCTTGCCTAAACAAAGGGGCTGAATACTTATGCAACGACTATATTTTAGTTATGAATTTTTCTTTGACGTTAGAGTATTTTGTGTAGATTGTTGGCAAAAAAATATATTAGATCAATTTTAATCCCACTTTGTAACACAATAAAATGTAAAATAGCAGTAAAGAGTTTCATTACAAATCGCTATATATTCATTTTCAGAA